GTTGATGTAGCCAAAACACCACAAAGGGCATCACTGTCCATTACTGTTCCTTCTTGTGATGAATTTTGTATTTGTTTGTTAATCTAGTTAATTCAAATTAATTATATCATCTTTATTTTTAATCAAATATAAATAAATAAAAATGTAATTTATTATGTCTGTCTTCTCTAATTTGTAAATATTTCTCTAGCCATCTGAAGAGAGAATTGTTTTGTTTTGCCCCCATGATCGATTATGATGAGGAACCACATAGATATTTTTTGTGTCCCTCCTCCAAAGGAAATTTGGATTTTTTTATTTTATTGTTTTGAAACAATATGTTATAGGTGCATTTCCACACATTATCAATGGCAAACCATGCAGGACAATGACAAAAGGCTTATCCACTGAACCTGTTACTGGTGTTCCACGCTGTTATACTCCGTTCCACCCTGTTATGCTCCTTTCCACCCTGTTAGACAAGTCATTTTAAATAATAATTTGACAGCAACATTCAATTTTTGGCATACTTTTGTCTTATTTTGTGAGGTGAGGAGCACTAACAGCATATATATGTTTTTGAGCCAATTTTTATTGTTATTTACCATCCTATTTGCAAAGATGGGCACAAAAAGTACCAGTTTTTAATAATCAAGACATATTCTCTTAATCAAAAATTGCTTTGCTTGTTTCAAGAAGAAAAAAAAAACTAAGATGGCATAACACTAGAACGGCCACAACGGTCATTTTGACCGTTTTGAATTTTATATCTACAATAACTTTGTTGAAAAAAATAATAAAATCCTGCTGGTACCTGACTTTTCCTAAAATTGTCTGTATTTTCATTTAAAATGCTTTTCATATAAATTAAGTTACGTAAACGTAAGGCAAAACAAAAAAAATGAACATATTTACCTATTTCGGCCATAGACGGTCATATTGACCGCACTGAATTTTGCGGTATTTTTTTGTTAAATATCCCGCGGTTGATCGTGTTCTCTCTCAACTGTCAACAGAATGGTCCGTCCGGTCACCTCTGTAGCAGTGTTTGCCATATAATAATTTCTACATTAGTTGTTGATCAGAAATAAGCAAATAAAACCGGACTACAGTTATCTATAATTCGGATGCAGGGGAACAATCAGAGGTGGTGTGACAGCGACGTTTCCTGGGTGCAAGTTAACATTTCCTCCTCATCAGAGAGTGATTCAGAGTCAGAGTCCACATCAAGCAAAAAGAGACGGCTGCTATCATCAGACACGGCGGATCCAGATGTTCCATTCATGTCGGATGATCGTGGTGAGCTCTGCTGCCCTGTCCTGCGCTGTTCACTAGGACCGCGTCGCAAATCGTCACTATCTAACATTTTCGTCATAGTCTTTGTCATTCAAACCTTGTTTTTATTTAGTTATTGTCTCGTTTTCGTCTTTGAAAAAATGTGGTTGACAAAAATAATTACGAAAATTATTCATCAACACTGTTTTGAATCTAACGGTCAAAATGACCGCTTGTGGCCGTTCTAGTAGTTTTGGAATTCTGGCACTTCTAGTGTTAAGGGACATATACTATCCAAGAAAAGCTCATAATTGTTTAACATTTACATTATTAACATGTTGTGATAACTATGTATATGTCCCTAACAGGGTGGAATGTTTTCATGGACATGTCTGAACAATCTACCCATAATTTTTATTTTCCCTGAGCTTGACCAATATGTATTCCTTATAGTTAAACATGTCAATATTTTGGTAGAATGCTAAAAACATGAAAATCATGTCCTTTTTTTCCCAACACTTATGAAGCCAAAATTTCACCACATACCAGGAATGACCCTAGTAACTTATAGCACTCCACTCTAGGATAAGGGAATCTATAAGCTGAAAGCTCTGCCATCATGTTGCTTTTTACATTTTTGTAAATTTTTACAAATTTTACATAAATTAATGAGAACATTTCATTTAATTGAAAAGGTCCCACTTATTCATTAATTTCGTTGGAATTCAGTCAGCGTAACTGTTACAGTAATGTGGTAAAATAATGAATGAACAAATCACAATATACAGTTGTTTCTTCCCTGTGATAAATGGTAAATGGACTGCATTTATATAGCGCTTTCATAGACCTAATGGCCACCAAAGCGCTTTACATATTGCCTCACATTCACCCATTCACACACACATTCATACACCGACGGCGGTGTCAGCCATGCAAGGCGCCAGCCAGCTCGTCGGGAGCAGTTGGGGTTAGGTGTCTTGCTCATGGACACCTCGACACTTGGTCAGGTGGAACCGAGGATTGAACCACCAACCCTTCGGTTTGTAGACAACCCACATGAACCACTGAGCCACTGCCGCCCCAAATTGATGTATTGCCCAAATTATTATTTTGGACAGACAAATGAAACCCTCCTTTCAATTAAATTAAATGTTTTCATTAATGTATTGAGAACGAAACGAAAGAAATAGATTCGTTCAGTGTATACATAATCACTATTTTGGTCATTTCACACGCGTCTTATGTAGGCTAGATTATTAATCCTGACGCGTTCACTTCGAAGATCGCGAGTCAGCATTGTCAACTTCATGTTTTCAGCCGACACACTGACAAAGAATACACTTGTTTATTAATAAACAATTAAAATATCTTCTTGCTATATTTTACATAGCCTATTCATAATCTTTTGCCGGTTCTTTGTGACAGCTTTGGTGCTTCATTGGCAGTGACACCCTACATGTTACACGCGTCACCACCGCATCACCGCACCCACCAGAATAGGCCAGTTTAGTAAACAGGATTAGATGGCCACAATGCATTCTTACACTTATAAAAGCCAATTCAATGCGGAGGTAATCCCTCAGATTGATTAATTTAATGGAATACGTTACAAATGACATTGGCATGGTTTTACTTCAGTTAGCCTAATAGCTGGTTTGATTTGCATTGAAAGATGATCTTATGGAAAGTACCCCATGCCAATCTCTAGGCATGGTGAATGGTGTGTGATGATGGGTCTATTTTAATTCCAAAGGCCAAGGGAACTTTATCAGGATGCATATTATCCTGGATCCATGAAATAACTGGCTTTTAAAAATAAAAATCTGCCTGACACTATGGGAATTTAACATAGAGGTGTCCTGACTTATGCATCCTGTATTTTAAGGAAAAACATTTATTTATTGATGATACATTATTCATTCACAAAGAAAAGTTGTGTCCTTAAAGGTTGTAGTTTTCCTCATTTTTCTAATTAAGGCATTAAGATCAATATCCAAAAGAGGATTTTTTATTCCTCTTTTTAGGAAACTTTAGCATGGGTGTCCAAACTTATTCATATCACTGTAAGACGCGTGTGAAATGACTAAATTAGTGATTATGTTCACTGAACGAATCTATTACTTTCGTTCTCCATACATTAATGAGACCATTTAATTTAATTGAAAGGAGGCTTCATTTGTCTGTCCAAAATAATAATTTGGTCAAAATTTGGTTGGTTTGTTTTGTTCATTCATTATTTTATTACATTAACAGTTATGCTGACTGAATTCCAACTAAATTAATGAATAAGTGGGACCCTTTCAATTAAATGAAATGTTCTCATTAATTTACGGAGAACGAAAGAAATAGAGTCATTCAGTAAATTAAAATTTTTTACAAAAATGTAAAAAGCAACATGATGGCAGAGCTTTCAGCTTATAGATTCCCTTATCCCAGAGTGGAGTGCTATAAGTTACTACTAAGTGCTAATGTGGATTCTGTCTATATAATACATTTACCAAAACCTCAATAAGGTTAATTATAGATAAAGTTAGACAGAAACACACCTGTTCACCGCTCATTTTCCCATGGGAAAAGGCGAGCAAATTGATCCCTTATCTTAGCGCCATCTACTGTTCTAGAAGAGGAAGTTATGGTGCTCCATATGGACGCGGAAAAATAGTGCCAAAAGTTTTTCGTACTTGTAGAATTTTGTTTTTTGTACTTGGAAGAATTTTGCTTTGTACTTGAAGAATTTTGTTTTGTACTTGAAGGTTTTTGTTTTGTACTTGAAAGATTTTAGTTTGTAGCTAGCCTAAGTTTTTCTTTCCTTGTAGAAAAGTTAGCAACTCAGGAGACCAGGAGACTTTTGAGGTATCTTTCACGCAGAAGTTCTTTATTGCGTCACTGGAGTCATCTCAAAGATAGTCTAACTAAGGGAAAACATTCCCTTAGAATTTATACATTTAGAGGGGAGGAGTTTACATTGAGGGGGGAGAAACTGAAACAAAGCAATGTAAATGATTCAACAGGCATCTCAGTTCATCAGCATAGCAGGTTTCTGTGCCTTGAGATGCTAATCTGGAGGAGTTACATTGAGAAGGAGACTCTTGAAATGAAGAAGGAACACACCCTACTCTGAGGGCATTACCAATCCAATTGAAACAGCATAACTATTCAAACGCTGATAGTAGCCAGGAACTCTGGTTCCAGAGAGCCATCCTAGAGCCACTAAAGACAAAAAGGTGGAAGTCTCCCTTATAGCTAATACAATCAAAAACAGGACTATCGGGAAAGGAGACTCTCGCTGGAGACTCAATAATCATCTACTAAACTTTCAGGTTTCATACCATTGGAGACAAATTTGTATTCTTCCTACTTGGATAATATTTTTGTCATTGAAGAAATACGTTTCTATGTATATGTAAAACGAAATGTATTTTGTTTGATAGGTACGTTTTTTATTTGCAGAACAATATGCATTAGTTTGTGAGTGATGTTTTGTATTTACAAACCACATTGAGTTTGCTTGTGAATCATTGGGTGTGTGAGTAAAACACGTTTTGTGTGTGTGCGTGTGTGTGTGTGTGTGTGTGTGTGTGTGTGTGTGAGGTTTCGGCACATAATTCGCTCCATAGGGGGAACACACCCAACTAATACCAATATCAGTCTCTTAACAAATCAGGGACTTCATGTAAACTAATTAATATTCATGAGCCAGGCAGTCGCAGTATTCCTTACACACACACACACACACTAACCATTCAAAGAAAACGCCATTGGACTAGGCTACTTTTACAAATACCTATCTTCAAAAAATAAAATGGAGCTTGAAACTCGGAAAAAACACTGTAAGTTATTTTTGAATACTTCTTGGACATTGTTTTTTCATGGACATTTCACAGCCTATTTTTCATATAAAAATAGGCTGATTTAATTACAAGGCATCTACATTATATGTATGGCTTACTGTATTTGGTCACTGATCAGCAAATTATTAAAACATTTTATGTATTCCTTAATGAATTTGGTCACTGATAAGCAAAAATGTAGCCTATTTAAAAAAAAAAAGAAACAAAAGAACGATACTAGCCTATTTTTTATTATCAGTGAACCTGGTGATTTGCAAAACAAGTCTACAAGAAGCATACATTTTTTATGCACATTGTTGAATGAATTTTACTTACATTTTTTTTTTTTTTTGTAAAGTAAAGCTGAAGCCCTGTGTCGAGCAGGTCGAGGGCCATGGCGGTGTCGTTTCTCAGTAATCACTCCAATGGCCACACGAGTTTTTCTGGTTTGGTGCTGCTTGGAATTTTGATTTACTTTTATTTTTTTTTTGCTTATACTTCAAAAGATTTTGAATGCGATTGAATGGACTTAATGTTCACCTGAGATATAAATAAACCATTTGGATAGCCATATTGTGCAAGTTTATTTTACCACATCAATACTAGCCTATAGCTACATTGGTCTGGTAATGGATAAGGAGAGATTGACCACATATCATATCGGCCAATAAATGGTCATTTTGATGTTATCGATCTGATAAGAAAAATAGGCCAATTATAGATATCAAATCGATAGATTATTTACTTCATGTGCGCTGTTCGCCATAATGGTTTCGAATAATTGGAATCACTTCGGAAAGGAAGATAGTTTAGTGCAGCGCACATCTGTCACATTCATAAAATTATAATAATAGCACACCTGTAACATGTTATGAATTCGTGTTCGCCAGTTTTCCAGCATGTTAATTGTAGAGTGTGTCTGGAGTCAAGGCTTCTTGACAAGCAAAGACAAGTTCTCTTGAGCATTCTGTTCAATTGTAATTTTGTAACATGTTTATTTTCTGTATCGGATTAATCTAATAGGATGCGTTTGGTTGAGTTAATGAACGATGCATTAAAGCGCTTCGATTGTAGGCTACTGTGATCATCAGTGCTACTGTGCAGCACAAACAGTAATGCGCATTAATATGATTGAGACTGTCATACATAGGCTACCATTTCATTCTGATAAGAAGTAGTAGGCCTATCCATAAACAAAAATGTCTTATATGCCTATCCTGCATTGTGTGACGACATAATGGTTTTACAGTTCACAGGGAAAGATCACATCTATGGAAGTTTTTCATGGGGTTGTGTCTACTGGTGATCATGAGTTGTCTGGTAAGTTATCACAACTGCATCTTTTGAAATGGTATTAACTCTTCAAATTAAAAAAATCAATAATGCTTAATCAAACTAAATAGTTATAGGCTACAAAATATTAGGTTCCATGCGGATAATGTAAAATTGTGTAAATAATTTTGACAACATCATACTTCATAATAGAAAATAGGCTATAGCGTCTATTAGCCTAAGTCATCAATGCAGACTGACAGGCGCTTTATCGTTATTGTAGGCAATACATAATTCTGATGGGGCACGTGTGGACAACGACAAGCTGAGGTTTTCGCGGGTGACTGTAGCAACGGACGGAATATGGTTAAAATTACATCCCACCTAATTTGTTTTTTAACGGGATAAGGATGACGCAGATCTGTTCCAGAATCATTGTTTATCGTATTTAATGACATGACATTGCTGTAGCTTTGTAATAGGTTTTGATGAAAGTGGCATAGCATGCTATACTGATCATATACAGTATTTACCAATGGGGGTTAGGAAAACCACACAATAAATTCCGTGCATCAAACATTAGCTTGGGATGTTTTTAAGCATTGGTAGTGAAAGCAGCATCTTCTAATAAAAAAAAAATATGGAAATACTAACAAATCTTTAAGTTTTCGGCAACACTTTATAATATGACCATCATTGATTGCTTTTAATCTTTACTTATTGTCATTTAACTGTTTGCAAACAGTCTTTTTACTTAATAAATAATTTGTAACCTTACCCATCTATAAACATTATTTAAGCTGAAAAAGGCAGAAGAACATGATTTTTTCATAGCTTATCTTAATGTCACTGTAAACATTTTTATTTATGCACAGTATTTGCAACAGCGGTATTTGCTATGAAACCCTTTTTTATTTATATAATAAGGGGGGGGGGGGCAGTTGGATGCAGGTGTGGGGGGCCTCCATGTCCATTTTGCTTGGGGCCCCCAAATACCTTCAAACGGCCATGGTAGCAATACGAAATAAATAAAAATAAAAAAATACTTTATCATAATCATCATTTTTGATTTTGCAGCAAGTGCAAGCAAAAAAAAGTTTATTAACAATCTAGTAACTACTATTAACTAAAAGAAACTCTTATTAACGAATTAGTAAGTAATAGCTCACAGATGAAAGTGTTACTAGATACTTCTGTGGGAATTACTAATTATTTGGATTCGTATTATAAAGTGAAGATCATTGGAACTAAATAGTAATTACTCAAGTGTTACTAAAGACATTTTCTAAAAGTATACTAAAGTTCACCAAAAATCTCAAACGCTTGCACAAATCATGACTAGGTCATGTAGTAACACTTGAGTCATTACTAGTTAGTTCCAATGATCTTCACTTTATAATACGAATCCTGATTTACTGTCTGCTCATAATACCAGTCAATGAAATGTCGATCAAAACGCTAAAAATACCTAAAAGGGTATTTGTTTATAGAGCAGGAAAACTAATTATTGTGGCCACAGAATTACTTTTCATAAACTCTATAACTTAATTGAGCTAATTTATTTTGCCTGTCTTGTAAAACGTGGTCCTTGCAATTAATAACAATTAATTTGTTATTAATTGCGGGGATGCACATGTATGCATATGGGTAAAATTAATAAGCCTCCCTAAATGGGAGAAATCTGTATGAATAATTATTAATTATCAATTATTAATTATGATATGCAAATTCCCCCTTGATCAGACCCGACCAGAGTCTTTACAGCACTGTACATATTACAGTAAAATACTGTTCAAATTACAAAAATCCATTACAGTGTAGTTCCCACATGACGTCACAACATACGGGCATTTGCCGGCACCATTGCAGAGGGCAGAACATTAGAAGAAGCAATACGAGTTAAACGAAGTGAAATTAGATTCGTGCTAAAAAGTGTAAATGGTCAGCTGAGTCAATGGATGTTTAAATCGTGCTGGAGGTTCAGATAAATTGGGATTTTACAGTATGTCATTCGAATGAATGTGAGAAGACTAAGCTTTTGTCAGAACAATGACGGGGGTTATGGCTGGAGAGGATAAACAGGAAAGAAACTCACTCAAAACACGCAATAATTTGTTAGACAAAAGCACAATGTTGTGTTTTATTGCGAGTGTAAACGAATATAAGTTAACACTTTGCAATAATGTATGAACAAAATGATGAGGTGTTAAAAACATACAAAACAACATTGTTTCCACTGTTCGATCGCACCTGCGACTCTCTCTCTCTCTCTCTCTCTCTCACACACACACACACACACACACGTTCCATTCCAGCATTGCAATCTCAGATTATGTCCCTAAAGAACCCAAATATAAAGAAGTTCCGCATTACAGTAATTAATTTGCACGCGAGTTGTTTATTTTCATATTCATGCACCGAACCATGACGCCTGCACCGGTTTGTTGAAATACAAACACATGTAGCGACCGTTCCACCATATTCTTCAGTGTACAAAAAAGTACATGCATATTACAGAAAGCACCGGTGACTGTTTTAAGGGGAACATAGTAATTAAATTGTGCAGGCCATGGCTTTTTAATAAACAGAGAGTCTAGCATCATGCTATACTTCGCAATGATGAGTTACTTTTCCATTGATTGCACTTGAGCAAATGTCACCAAACCAACCCTCGGCAATATGGTTTCCCAGCCTGGTCTCATTGTTAATACGTAGGTATTTTACGTTTTTGCAAAGATAAAAAACGTACTTTTTAGTACGTTTGGATAGGTGCTGAAACGTATAATATAGACGTATCTGCAACATTTAAACGTAACATTATTACGTTTTTACAGCTACAAAACGTAAACTATTTACGTATATTCTATATCATAAAGATATCTGTATAATTTCCCTTTTTACCATTTTATACATAAATGTAAGATCCCGTAACCCTAATCCCAAACCTAAACATACCCATTTTATACTTAATATAAAAAAGGATAAAACGTAACGGACAGGTGTTGGGAAAGGGTAGTTTTATTAACAATATAACATTAAAATATATTTTGAGCCACCAATCCTACCCCTAAACCTAACGTTACCCATAACAATTCCTTAAAACTACGTAACAAACTACAATTATTAAGAAAAACATAACTAACAGACAAGTATAATCACAATAATTTATTTATTGCAAAAATGTCAAAACCGATACCAAAAGCCGTTCACATGATGAAGCGTTGCAGTCGCAGTCTTCTCTCTGTCTCTGGCAGTATTGTAATAGTTTTGTATGAAGTACAGCAGAGCAGAAATTAAATAATGAAAATGTTAATCCGGCTTCGGTTCGCGCTTCTCCATTTCAAAATTCAAATGAACTAAACTAACCAACCGGCACAGTCCTTCATGTCGCAAACTGTGACGAAGCAGGGAAGAGCCAATGAACGTTTGATATCACTGCCGTAAAACATGACGTATCGCTTCTCAAGGGCGCAATTTTTGAATTTGAATTCATCAGCGCGGGGTTTGACGGTCGCTGCTGAGAATGGAGAGATCACGACTGGATAAGAGGCTGAATTAGGAGTTGTTTCTTACAAACTATGGATTCTAAAGATTTGGATTACATCAAACTAATCAAATTGATGTCTTTTGTGATTTTTTGTTGTGTTTTATAGGAGAAAACGCTTTATGTGTCTCAAGGTAAATAAACTATTACAAAATGGTTGAACGAGTAGCTAACGTTATTTTTAAGGTTTTATAGTGTATTGTTTAACAACATGCAGGCGAAACGAGCAAAATGTTCATATTTATGAGTATTATATCAATAAATGCGACTGAAAACTTCATTAATAAGACAGTGGAATGCAACAGAGTCAAAACATAATGCTGCTACGATATTAATATGCATAAATTGTGATACGTACAATGTGTACGTCGGTGGATTTGTTCATACGTAAATAAATTACGTTTTTGTGCTGTCAATACGTAAATATTTTACGTTTTAGTACTGTAAATACGTCAGTATTATACGTTTCTGCGCATATAAAACGTAATTATATATACGTATGATAGAACGACACTTTACGTATAAATACATACGTATTCTCATGAGATCACGTTGCAGCCAGCCAGCCAGCCAGCCAGCCATTTCCAGGCTCGGAGCTCAATTTTACACATGTGAGTGAGCTCAATTGCTCACATGTGTAAAAACTCCTAGCCAATACCAGATAATGGTGCACATGAAAATACCGTATCTGAGGCAAAGCTGCATAATCAGTGCTCAGTGCTTTCTTCGTTACTGCATACGGATCCACACCATTTATGAATGAAATGTTCGCATTGTACCTCTCCGTCTTGTTTTAATAGTCTCTTTATAATCTAATTCACTTTGTCTCTTCATGATTTGTGTATAAAACAGAAATAAATATTTGCTTGTAAAACGACATTCTCTGATAAAACTTGGTAAACACCTATGGTAAACACAGCAGCTTGTGCCCGATGCCGCCTCCGGGGAGGTCACATGACATTAATTTGCCTGTGGGAACTATTTGTATAGTTATGTGAGTTTGAATATATATGCGCAGGTTTGTAATTCCGTGCAAACCTAAATGCCTAAACAAACTACTAGTCTTGCCTATAAATTTTGATACAGCAGACTTAACTATCGCTGCAGCAACTTCTTGTCAGCTGCAGAGCAGTTTCCAAACCAGACAGTGAAAACCGCCATTTTGTTTTTCAAACAAACAATTTTTCCCCGATTTGCGATTCGGGTAATGCTGGGTACACACCAAAAGAAAATCAGGATGATTTTGGGCACTTTCAAAGCTATGGAACCTTATAGCAGGGCCGTTTCAAGATATTTGGGGGCCCTAGGCAAAAGAGTGAAGTGAGGTCCCAAGTCCTCCCTCAGGAAAATTTTTAAAATTCAGATGGGATTTCTTGTATTCTGGTGCATTTTAAGAGTCATGAATTACTCTGTACGCTACACAAAGTGGCCACTATAAAAAGGTCACAGTGTCTTCAATGAGGCATTGTTGATGGGAATGACACATTTTGATTAATGTTTATTT